TATTTTTCTCTGGGTTTCAACTTCTGCCACGCCCTTTCCCTTGTTAGACAGCAGTGGGCTCCCGCTGTGCCTTTTGCCCTGCTTCCTCTTACCAGGATTTGGTTTTCCTTTGGCAGGGGGACCTGGGGCCTTTTAACCCTGGTTTACCAGTGGAAGTGCCTCTGTGGCTGGCGATTAACCTGAAACAGAGACAGAAGTGTCGGCTGATTCCTCCTGAGTGGATGGATGTGGGTAAGTCCTTACCTGCTCCTGGGTGGAGCAGGGCCAGGTGACACCCTCCCTCAGGATGGAAGCACCAGCCCTTTCCACTTCCTCCATCATCCACTGGTCAGCTGAAATTAATGAATGGTTGGAGCTTCACCTCTTAGTTTGCTGACCACTATGACTAATGTCGTATTAATTTGAGGCATCTATACCAAATTTCGCTCAGATTTTGATTTTAAGATATTTCAACTTGCTTTAAAAATAAGAATATTGGGATGCCTGGATGGCTCAGTCGGTGAAGCGTCTGCCTTCTCAGGTCATGATTACAGGTCCCGGGATCGAGTCCCACATGGGGCTCCCTGCTCAGCGGGTAGCCTGCTTTTCCCTCTCCCTGCTCTCTCTCAAATAAATAAAAATGTTAAAAAATAAAAAATCATAAAATTAAGAATACCGTGGGGCACCCGGGTCTGCCTTTGGCTCAGGTCATGACCCCAGGGTCCTGGGTTTGAGCCCTCATGCGCGGGCGTGGGGGGGTGGGGTGGGGGGGTGGGAGGGGTGTCCCCAGCAGGGGGTCTCCTCCCCTCCCCCGCTCATGCTGTCTTTCTCTTTTTCTGTCAAATAAATAACATGTTAAAAATATAACGTTAAAAATACTGTGTAACTTTTTTTTAAAGATTTTATTTATTTATTAGAGAGAGAATGAGAAATAGCACGAGACGGAAGAGGGTCAGAGGAAGAAGCAGACTCCCCGCTGAGCAGGGAGCCCGATGCGGGACTCGATCCCGGGACTCCAGGATTATGACCTGAGCCAAAGGCAGTTGCTTAACCAACCAAGCCACCCAGGCGCCCAAAAATACTGTATGACTTTGAAAGAAGCATTTCTTTTAACTTTAAAAAAAGCTATATTGGGGTGCCTAATTCGCTCAGCCAGAGCGCCCGACTCTTGACCTTAGGGTCGTGAGTGACCTCAGTAAGTTTGAGCCCCCACGTATAGACTAGCATGTTAAGGAGCAGAGGCCTCTCACATTGTATAGAATGCAGGAAAATAATGTATCATTCAAACAAGGGAATATTATTCAGCCATAGAAAAGAATGAAGTCCTGCTCCTGCTACAACTGAATGAACATGGAAGACATTATGCTAAGTAAAAAAAAAAAAAAGGCACAAAGATCACCTACAACTCTGAATATACTAAAAATTATTGAATTGTACGTTTTGTTTTTTTAAAGGTTTATTTAGTTTAGAGGGAGTAAAGCTGGAGGGACGGGGGAGGGACAGAGAATCTCAAGCAGACTCAGCAATGAGCTCGGAGCCTGATGCAGGGCTCTTCATCCTACGACCTTGAGATCATGCCCTGAGCCGAAACCAAGAGTCGGACGCTTAACCGATAACCGACCGTGCCAGCCAGGCGCCCCTGAATTGTACATTTTAAATGGGTGAATTGAATGGTGCATTAATTATGCCTCAATAATAAAATGATGGGGGCGCCTGGGTGGCTCAGTTGGTTAAGTGTCTACCTTCGGCTCAGGTCATTATCCCAGGGTCCTGGGATTGAGTCCCGCATCGGGCTCCTTGCTACGTGGGGAGCCTGCTTCTCCCTCTGCCTGCTGATCCCCCTGCCTGTGCTTTCCCTCTCTCCCTCTCTCCCTCTCTCATAAATAAAATCTTAAAAAAAAAAAAAAAAAAGGACACTGTGAGCCAGGCACACTCAAATACAGTTTCAGAAAGATTGTGCATTTTCTCCTTCTGGTCCTAAAGGCGGGGGGCAGGGGGGGAGGTTGGCCCTGGAGGGTCTGCAACGAAGGGAAACCCCCAATCCCAGTTCCTTTTGCTGAGGGGCACTTTGGCAGGGGACCCTGCCAGGTCTGACTGTTAGCACTACATCTTCTGGCAGTTTCGGCCTGTCCAAACAGAAGGTGATAGGGGCAAGAGCCTGTCTCATTGCAGACCAGTCAGAAAAGTGGAGAGAGCCTGACCCTTTTCACAGGCCAGGGCCATGCTGGGGTGAGCAGTAGTGAAAGCTCACTGGTTGGTCAGTAGAGCATGCCCAAGAGCCAGCTGCCCTCTGATTCTGCCACTGTAGAGTTCCACCTGCTCTTATCCTATGAATGGAATCACCTGGTAAGTCCGTTTTTGTCTCTGACTTCTCTGACGCTGTCTTGTTTTGTTTTGAAAGATCTCATTTATTTGACAGAGCAGAAGCAGCGGGGAGTGACAGGCAGAAGGAGAGGGAGACGCAGACTCTCTGCTGAGCAGGGAGACCTACTCAGGGCTCCATCCCCGGGCCCTGGGATCATGACTGGAGCTGAAGGCAGACGCTTAACCCACTGAACCACCCAGGAGCCCTGTTATGGTTTTGTTTTTTTAATTTGTTTATTTGAGAGAGTGCACACTCATGAGGGGGTAAGGGGCAGATGGAGAGAATCTCCAAGCAGACTCCCCACTGAGTGCGGACCTCTATCCCATGACCCAGTGATCATGACATGAGCTGAAAGCAAGAATTGGGTGCTCAACCAACTGAGCCACCCAGATGCCGCTCTGGCACAGTTTTTGAGATTTGTTCTTATAGTTGCATGGAGCATTACATCATTCTTTTATTGCCAAATACTGTGTCATTCACGGTAGAGTGTTCCACAGTTAGGTCACCCATTCTTCTGTCAGTGGATATTTGGATCGTTTTCTATTTTTGGCTATTGCTAATGAGGCTCTTATGAACGTTCCTGTCCTAAGTCTCTTTGTGGATACACGTTTTTGATTGTCTTGGGTAAATACCTAGGGTCATAGGGCAGATGGTGCTTGACTCTAAGAAATTGCCACCTAGCCCTCCAGAATGGTAGAGTTCTTCTGATCCCACCAGAAACATGTGAGAGTTCCCAATGTTCCACATCCTGGCCAACAGTGGGTGACATCAGTCTGATTCATTGCAATTTGAACAGCAGTATTTCATACTCTGATTTTAGATACCTGAAAAAATCTGTCCACTGTATAGAGAAGATGTGTGTGGGGAGAGGGCAGTAGGAAGTTACCCAGGCTGTGAGTAGTTTTACCAGATGATGGAGGTGGGCAGACATGGTTGGAATCTAGGCGTATTTCAAAGGAAGAATCTGCAGGATTTGCTGAAGGACAGGCTGTGGGATCTGAGGGAGGAGAGTGAAGAATGCCTGCCAGGGTTGCTGGCCCGAAGTACAGAAGGACACGGAGTTGCTGTCTCCTGAGATGGGGAAGGCTGGGGAAGCATTAGGGCTGGGGTAGGGACCAGGAGTTGGGGTTTGACCATGTCACACTGGAGGTGCCTATTAGCTATCTAGGTAGATAATGTGGGCAGGAGTGTTTAGTCAGGAATTCGGTGAAGGGGCTTATTGGGATACAAAGGTGGAAGTCCTCATGAGTGCTTAGATAGTATTTAAATGAGGCAGAATGAAATCACATGGGATGTGGGTTTAGGTGGTAAAGGGGTCAGGGATCTGAGCTCTATACCCCACTGCTGAGAGAGGTCAGCAAGGCCCAGAGGAACCGGAGATACGAGAACTCTGTGTGGTATTCCAGAAATCAAGTGATAAATATCCTCCAAGAAGGATTAATCTTTGTGAGATGTGAAGACAGATGGAACCATTGGGCTTGGCTGAGCAGAGGTCGTGGGCCTTGGTGTTGAGTGGTACTGGTGGAGGGGTAGAATAGACACCCACCTGAGTGGTCAAAGAAAGAAAGTTAACTCTTGAAAAAATGGTTTGGTAGCTGGCGTTGGGATTTTTATTTTAAGATTTTTTTTTTTTTAAAGATTTTATTTATTTAATTGACAGAGACAGCGAGAGAGGGAACACAAGCAGGGGGAGGGTCAGAGGGAGAAGCAGGCTTTCCACCGAGCAGGGAGCCCGATGCGGGGCTCGATCCCAGGACCCTGAGATCATGACCTGAGCTGAAGGTAGTCGCTTAACCGATTGAGCCACCCAGGCGCCCCTTATTTTAAGATTTTATTTTTTAAATTTTTAAAAATTTTTATTTAAATTCAATTAACTGATTGATCAGTTGCATGTAACACCCAGTGCTCATTATATCATGTGCCCTCCTTAATGCTTATCACCCTTTTACCCCATCCCCCCACGTACCTCCCCTCCAGCAGCCCTCAGTTTGTTCCCTGTAGTTAAGAGTCTCTTACGGTTTGTCTCCCTCTCTGATTTCCATCTTATTTTACTTTCCCTTCCCCTATGATCCTGTTTTGTTTCTTAAATTCCATGAGTGAAATCATATGATCCTTGTCTTTCTCTGATTGACTTATTTCACTTACTAAGGTTTTATTTTTTTATTTAAAGTCTCTTTTTTTAAGATTTTATTCACTCATTTGTCAGAGCGTGCGCGTGCGCGCACGCACTCACTCACAAGTAGGGGGAGGGGCAGAGGGAGAAGCAGGCTCCCTGCTGAGCAAGGAGCCCGCTGCGGAACTCAGTCCCAGGACCCCGGGATGGTGACCTGAGCCACCCAGCTGTCCCTTATTTATTTATTTTAAAGATTTTATTTTTTTAAAGGTTTTTTTTTTATTTATTTGTTTGAGAGAGAATGAGAGAGAGCATGAGAGGGAAGAGGTTCAGAGAGAGAAGCAGACTCCTTGCTCAGCAGGGAGCCTGATGCGGGACTCGATCCCGGGACTCCAGGATCATGACCTGAGCCGAAGGCAGATGCTTAACCAACTGAGCCACCCAGGCGCCCTTAAAGATTTTATTTATTAAGAGAGACAGTAGAGAGAGAGAGCATGAGCTGGTGGGGAGGGGCAGAGGCAGAGGGAGAAGTAGGCTACCAAGCAGGGAGCCTGACATGGGGCTGGATCCCAGAACCCTGGGATCATGACCTGAGCTAAAGGCAGATATTTAGCCGACTGAGCCACCCAGGTGCCTATATTTATTTTTATTTTTTAAAAGATTTTATTTGAGCAAGAGAATGAGCAAGTGAGAGAGCACATGAGGGAGAGGGAGAGAAGCAGACTCCCCGCTTAGTGGGGACCCTGACTCACAGCTGGATTCTAGGCCCCTGAGATGATGACCTGAGCCGAAATCAAGAGTCGGTTGCTCAACTGATTGAGCCAGCCAGGCACCCCTAGGATTTTCTTTTTAAGATGGAAGATGTTGCAGTGAGTTTGATGGAATGGTGAAGTAATGAGGACAACAGTGAACACTCAAGTGAGACAGTTGCTGGGGCGGTGTTCTGTGCCGGTCAGAGAGGAGGTCCAGGACGCACCTGGAGGGCTGTTCCTTGTGCATAGAGACAGGTGTGGAGGGGGTTGGGAGCGGTGTGCTCGCAGGAGTGTGCAGGCCCTCAGAAGGGCATTGGGTCAGAGCGAGAGGGTCGATGGAGGAGGGGAGTAGGTTGGGTTGCAGCATGGCACCACGGGCCCCTGAAGAGGGGGCCCAGCACTGAAAGACCCCGCTTTCCCCCACTCCCCTAGCACAGTTGTGTGTGTGTCCCTCAGCCTCAGTGGCCGGATTCAGGACTTTCTCACCCATAAGATAGGGAGAGAGGGGTGCTGCTGCTGGTTGGAATTGGGATTCCACTGTGGGATTCCAGATGCTGGGCTTTAGGCCCTACGTGACCATCGTCCCACCCCCAGGCTGGAGTGGCCGTGGTTTGATGTCCTCTTGCTCCCCTCCGAACAAGGCTTCGTGTACACAAGTAAATTTCTCCAGTCACCGGTTACTCTCATCACCTTTTGCGTCAAAGGTAGAATGCTTGTCTCCCTAAGAAAAGAACTTCTGACTCCCAGCTTCTTCAGTAATATGTCCTGCAGGCCAGAGCAGCAACACCAACAAGAATCTACCACCTTCTATAAGAGAAACTTTTCTTTCTTTTTTTTTTTTAATATTTTATTTATTTATTTGAGAGAGAGAATGAGATAGAGCATGAGAGGGGGGAGGGTCAGAGGGAGAAGCAGACTCCCCGCTGAGCAGGGAGCCTGGTGCGGGACTCGATCCCGGGACTCCAGGATCATGACCTGAGCCGAAGGCAGTCGCTTAACTGAATCTGAGCCACCCAGGCGCCCGAAACTTTTTTAAGAGTCTTTTTCTTTATTTGACAGAGAGCACACAAGCTGGTGGGAGTGGGAGAGGGAGGAGCAGGCCCCCTGCTGAGCAAGGACCCCCCCCTCCCCCCCACGTGGGGCTGGATCCCAGGACCCTGGGATCATGACCTGAGCCTACAGCAGAAAGATGCTCAACTGACTGAGCCCCCTGGTGTCCCGTAAGAGAAACTTGAGGAAATAGGCTGTGAATCATCTAGTTAGTGATATGTTATTCCCAAAAGTGTTTTTTCTTCATGTTTTTGTTAGTTGATCCAATAGATAATGTAGATGGTAAATTTGGAAAGCTTAAACAAATATTTTGGGTATGGTGATGGTAAAATGTATACATTTCTAAATTTCAGAAAAGTTGGAGAAGATTAGGGATCATGAACGAAAGGAAGAAACTTTTACCCCTATGCCTAGCCCTTACTACATGGAACTTACGAAACTCCTATTAAATCAGTAAGTATGTCTCCTTCTTAGAGCCACGTGTAAGGTAGAACTCCTGATTCTCATCCCTTACCCTGGTCCTCCTTTCTTGTTCCATTTTCGGCTCCAAGGTGAGGGGGGTCCCGGGCACCCATTTCCCTGGATCAGGAACCTGGGAGGCATTTGTGTGCACACACTTTGCCTGGGCTTTCCCATTTGTCCTTTCCTTTTCCCACCCCTCCCTCTCCTAGGGAATCCCTTGCTGCTTTATCGCTTGACACTGGACCCCGGTGAGTCTCCATTATCCTCTCTAGCCTTTTTCTTAACTGTCGCTCTGTTTACTGGTGAAGCTTTACTGCTTTGTCTTCCACTCTGTGCCTCTGAGTTCTTGCATGTCTTTCACAGGAAAGGCCAGAGGGCTCACACTTGCTCTGAACCCTAGCTGTAATGAAAGCCCACTGGTGGCAAAAAGTGTGGTGTAGTAGCTTCTTGTTTCCCTGCGTTCAGTTCTGGCTCCCCATTGGCTTTTAATTCATTCTCCACTTTGCAGCCAGAGTAGACTTTTAAAGATGGAGCTGCCATGCGACTCCCCTGTTCCTTGGAGCCTGTCCAGGGTTTAGGCTAAAGTCCTCATGATAGTATACAAAGCACTGCCTAGCTGGGCTCCTGCCTTCCTTTGTGGGTCCTACACCTTCCTTCGTGGCTCCCTGATTCTCTGGGTCCCAGGCTGACCTTGGCCTCTTTTACTTCCTTCCACATACCAAGGTCCTCAGGGCTTTCAAATACTGTTTCCTCTGTTCAGTTAGTCCATCTGTTGTCTGTTCCCTCCTTTGGTTTATTAGCCTAACCGGTGTTCTCTCACAGGTTAAGGATGCCTATCCCCTGACAGCTCTGTAGCCCCCCATGGCATTTGTCAGCTGTAATCTTCTAAACTAGTCAGGCTGTGCCCTCCCACCCCTACCCCAGTTCTAAAGGACAGGGCCTGGGGTGCCTGGGTAGCTCAGTCGGTTAAGTGTCTGACTATTGATTTTGGCGCAGGTCATGATCTCAGGGTTGTGAGATTGAGCCCTGTGTCAGGCTCTACGCTGGGCATGAAGCCTGCTTGAGATTCTCTACCTACCCGTCCCCTCTTCCCCTCCCCCCCACCCCTGGCATATCTGTGCACACATGTGCTCTCTCTTCCTCTAAAAAAGTAAGGGCAGGGACTGCGTCTTGTACGTATTATGCCTGGTGCATACGTGTTTGTTGAATGAATGAGTGAAATCAGCGGGGGCGGGCAAGCAAGTGTGGATGATTTTGCTTGGGAGATACTAGACTGTAATTTGCAAAATGTCAAGCTTTTGAAGTCCTCAGCATGTTTTCTTTTTTCTTTTTTTAAGTAGGCTCCATGCCCATCATGGAGCCCAATGTCGGGTTTGAACTCATGACCTCAAGATCAAGACCTGAGCTGAGACCCAAGTCTGTTGCTTAGCTGACTGAGCCACCCAGGGGCCCCTGAGCACCTTTTCATTGATGAAAGCAAGAACAGAACTAGAACAAAAATTAAGCTCCCTATTATCTGTTCTAGAGCAAGGCCTCCACTGTATGACACTATTGAATTCAAATGAATATTTGGGGTATGTAACATGGATTTGTCCTTAAGGTTTTTTTTTTGTGTTTTTTTTTTTTTTAAGATTTTATTTATTTATTTGAGACAGAGAGAATGAGAGAGAGAGCACATGAGAGGGGGGAGTGTCAGAGGGAGAAGCAGACTCTCTGCCGAGCAGGGAGCCCGATGCGGGACTCGATCCAGGGACTCCAGGATCATGACCTGAGCCGAAGGCAGTCGCTTAACCAACTGAGCCACCCAGGCGCCCAAGGATTTGTCCTTAAGTTGATATGAGGCTGTAGTTTACAACATATGAAGCATTCCACTAGATAATGGAAATAGTCACATGGGCTTGAGCCCCACTTAGTCGGGGAGCAGTGTGAGCCTGTTAACCTATAGTTCCACACTGCAGTGTGATCAGTCCTGTTCAGACCATGTCGGAATGCAGCCCTAATAACTGGTGGTGTCAGAGAAGGGATCCTCGGCTTAACGGAGGGAAAATTTACTAGAGAACAGGATGCTCTAGGTAGAAGGCAGGGACATGTGAATGGGCACAGTATGTTTGGGGAAGCAGGGCTGTTGGGGTTGATGTAGACTAGGTAAAGAGTTGGGGGGCTGAGGCTGTTATTCTGTGGCTGCAGTGTCCTGGGGAGGGTGTTCGGCAGGGATTGTCATCCAGTGAATTGGAGAGCCTTTTGTGGCAGTGGGCAGGAGGACCTGGAAGGGAAAATATGGAAGCGGAGGTGAGGGGCCTGTTCACCTTTAGTTTTTGAAATTCAGGATCTTATATATGCAGTTCCTGTTGAAACTGGTTTTATGATTCTTTGTAATTCATTTGGCCAAGGGACCTAATTTTACCTTTTTCTGCACTTCAGTTAACAAATAGATGGGGTCCTTTGTTCTGTAACCTGCTGTTCAGAGCGTAAGATCCAAATGTTTGGGTCTTAAATACAATTCACTATGTAAATTTTATACCACTGATTCCCTACTACTAATCACAAACTACTTTCACCATGTGGAGAGGCCACTGCACCTTTCCTAGCATGCCAGGTGATAGACAGTGTTAGCTTTTGCTTTTATCTTTTTTGTCTTTTCCTTCGATGGTTAGTTTAAAATATAGCTCACAACAAGGGGCGCCTGAATGGCTCAGTCACTTAAATGTCTGACTCTTGATTTCAGCTCAGGTCTTGACCTCAGGGTCATGAGTTCAAGCCCTGCATTAGGCTCCATGCTGGGTGTGGAAGCTACGTGGAGGGGGGAAAAAAAAAAGGGACTAAAATGGCCTAATGGCCTAGAAGGATCCAAAATGTAGCTTACGACAGGAAGGCTGTCACACTGACCCTTGCTGACTGTTCAGACTTTTACCCAGAATTCGCTGTGTATTGGTATGCTCGGTTTATGCTAATTTGCAGTTTATTCCGTGGTTTCTGTAAGTGTACTTTTCTCTGTGGAGTGGGACAGTACCTAGCCTTCAGAGCTTTGGGGAGGATAGAAACGCTTTGTAGTGTCGAGCACAGTGCCTGGCACAGAGCTGTTGTCTTCTTTCTCTGGTGGGTTGTAAGCCCTTGGATAAATGATGAGGTATGAGCAATAGCAGTCATGACCCCTGAGCCAGCCCTTGAAGCAAATTCATTCAAGATGGAAATTCTACAGCACAGAACACTGTTACCCTGAGCAGAGGATGTCCAACCTTTAGAGCTTATTCTCTGAAGTCCTTGTACTGCAGCCTGCCATGGGACAGTTAATGTGAGCACAAATAACTGTGTGGATCATGGTTGAATTTTCTTTCTTTTTTTGGGGGGGATTTTATTTATTCGAGAGAGAGAGATAGCCACAGACATAGCAGGAGAGCACAAGCGGGGAGCAGGGGGAGAAGCAGGCTCCCTGCTGAGCAGAGCAGGGAGCCCAACGCGGGGCTCGATCCCAGGACCCCGGGATCATGACCTGAGCCGAAGGCAGATGTCCATCTGATTGAGCCACCTAGGCATCCCATGGCTGAATTTTCTTGGCACCAAGCTTAACTGCTAGAAATTTTTTTACATCTTAAAATTGAAAACAAAGGAAAACACAAGATGTGTTTTCCTGAAGCCAAGCAGCATTTTTTATTTTTTATTTTTTATTTTTTTATTTTATTTTTTTAAAGATTTTATTAGAGAGAGAGAGAGAGAATGAGAGATAGCACGAGAGGGAAGAGGGTCAGAGGGAGAAACAG